TTTGTAGATGAAAATTTACAATAAACTTTTTTTGCAATCAATTTTTACTTAATCTGAAAAAGAAGCTAGTTAAAAAAAATGTCATAACACTCAACCCAATTTTTTAATGTTCTCTATTAAAAGAAGATTTCCGGATATAATTTTTCAAATTATTATTATTACGTGACGTCACGCGCGAACTTTTCAGTATAGAGTTTTACTCGGCACCGTAAATATGAGCTGCGAGAGCACGCTAGTTTAACGAGGGGCAATAGATGGATAATAGGCGGAATTTGCAGATTACGGTGCGCCTAATATTTACCGCTACTCTGAATATAATTTCGAAATGTCCTCAATTTATCGTTAGATATAATTCGTGTTCTCATACTAGTTACTAGACATGTATACATATGTATCTATATATATATTGTCAAATATGTGAATGTCGCTATATCATGACTATTAGACTAACGACAGTTTGTGAGTTAACGATGATTGCTTGACGATCGGATTGGTTATAGCAGCGAGGGGAGAGTTTGTTCATCTCCAGTTTTTTGACTGACAAGGCAACCTCGCGAGGTGGTCACCGTCGATTTAGCTGAGGCTTCTATATAGTAATCTACGTCGGAAGAAATGAATCATGTATTTTTTTTTCCGCGGAAAAACGTTTTGAAGGGGTAAAAATTATTCCCAAAGTTGACACCCTATGGAGGTAATTTTTAATTTTTACATATTTCTAATCAAAATTTTCCAAAGTGACGTTATACGTTAAGAACAACATAAGAAACGATAAAAAATACCTTTATTTACATGTTTATAAAACTTGCGGATATACCTTTTTTTTTATTACGAATAACAAAAAATCTATTACTTAAAAATTATTAATTATTTTTTAATGAGACCAATTTCAATCAGAAGAGCATAAAAATTAACGAGATACATGTTTTTGCAATTTTTAAAATAATATTAACGACAGTAAAAATAGCAATTTAGAAAAAAAAATTCTACTCATTGATTACGTCCTTATGAATAAAAAAAAAATTATGTGCACAAAACAATTGTTAAGAAAATATTAAAACAACAGGTAAGAATTTTAACAGTACCCCTATTAATAAGGAAAAAGAAAAATGAACGAAAATCTTTAGTCAGAAGTTTATCAACTTTCTAAATTATTAGTTTTTCATAAACAATTAAAATGGTACTTGGGAGAAAATTCATAATTTGAAATTTTCTAGTCACGTTCTTTTTTTAAAAAAGACAGTTTATCAAGAAAAATTTTTCTATGCGATCCGTATTTTCAATAATTATTTATAAAAATCGTTTACAACGATTGCTCGAAAGTTAAAAAATTTTCGTTGTTATGTATCTCTGGTCTTTAAAGGTGCCAATATGTAAACCATATGCTTAACCTTAGAGACTTTAAGTTCCCCTTTTTAGTCCTAGCCTTCCGGCCAATAGACAGTGATGAAGGGATCTCCGATAGAAAAAGTCGAAATGTGTGATTTATATAAAAGCAGTAACAAAATTTATTGAATGAAAATTATTGAAAAATTATAATGACAATATAAACGTTAGCAACAGATGATTTCTTTTACTCTCGTCGAGATGAATTACAATTAATGTGCTCTGAGTTGATTCTCCAGTCAGCGTAATGTTCACTTTTACTCGTAAATTAATTTGAATATCAATTGAAAAAAAATTTGACCAGCAAATAAACTTCATACAAAAATTTAAAAACATTGAAATATAATCAATACAATGTTCAAGACAAAACAAGACTGACGATTTCAAGAGATGTTTCACGACGATCTGATCTCGATCTTACTTTTTCGACCATCCTGAATGATGCATCAAACCTTACGTATTTATTAAGTCGAATGTGACATAATACATGATTCATTTCTTCCGACGTAGATTATTACATAGAAGCATCAGCTAAATCGACGGTGATCACCTTGCGAGGTTTCCTTGTGAGACTTGAGTTGACTGGACGTATTCTTTCAATTTATTTAATTGCTGTCAATCTTCAATAAACTTTTTCTTTATTCACTAATTTTATGAAGTTGTTATTCGGTCTTATTTTATATTAGTGTCAGAAAGTGGTCCGTTTCACTGGGAACCAGATAGTGTCGACCTTTATGCGCTAAATTATGCAGTATATGATGTGGCTCAAGGGTTTACTCAGGGCAGACGAACATCTGTCAATCCTAAGTTAAGCCTGAAAAGACGCATCCAACAGATTGCAAATAAGATGAAAAAGGCTCGACAAGGTGCATCTCGTATTCAAAGTGTGATGGATCACCTAAATACTTATAGACCTTATACGCCATGAATTCGGAGTATCGTGGCGAGTATTAGACGTGAACATCACCCTTTGAATACGGCCGTGCTACTGATCCTAAAGGAAAGGTACACAGGCAAAGTAAGATCGCTAATGGCCGTTAAAAAGTCATTAGCAAAGCGGTACAAGCGGCGAAGGAACAACAGATTGTTCTAATCTGACCCTTCACGCTTCCTTAAGCCGCAAGCCGCTGTCACTTATGAGCTTCCGAGTGCAGAAAGAGTCGAAACCTACTGAACCGAAATATATGGTCACACTAGTGCGTTAGATGTAGACACTTCAGTCCTTCAACTTTTCAGAGAACTCTGTGACGAACATCTATCACGAATTCCTGAAGAGTTTCAACGAGTCAGCATTCAGCAGTCAGCATCAAGCAAGTCGTCCGAACGCTTAATAACGGAAAAGCTCCAGGGCTAGACTTGTTGAAAGTGGAGGTTCTTAAACGTGCAATCGCGTACCTCCCAGAAAAATTTCTAACACTTTTTAAAGAATGCTTATCCCAAAGCGTCTTCCCTCGGGCTTGGAAGGAGGGAACAATTCGTATGCTCCTAAAGAGTCCCGACAAAGATGTAGCAGACCTCAAATCATATCAACCTATATGTCTTCTATCAGTACTAGGCAAAAACTTCGAAAGACTTATCACCAATATGGATTTATGGAAGGGCGATCAACGGTAGATGCGACACTGACAGTGCGAAGAGCATTGTCAGTATCCACGGAACGTAACGTGGTTACATGCTCTTTGATATTTCAGGCGCGTTTGATAATGTATGGTGGCCTTTAGTCCTCGAAGGACTGAAGTCACGAAACTGCCCTCAAAATATCTACAAAGTAATGCAAAATTGCTTCACAGACCGAACAGATAGCCTATTATGGGGAATCGGCTCAGTCATAGAAGTGGCCATGCGTGGATGCCCTCAGGGACTTGTGCTTGGCCCACTGTGCTGGAACATCATGTTCGATAATCTGTTAAAAACACTTGATCAATTCGAACATGGAAAACGCTATGCAGCGTATGCCGACGATTTAATTATCATTATAGATGGCTATTCTAGAGAAACCCTTGAAGCCAAAGGACAGGCAGTCGTTGACACAATACTCACTTGGTTCAAGAATGCTAAGCTCGAGTTATCAGAAACCAAAACGGAGGCAATCTTTATAAAGAGAGAAATTAAACTTAGAGGCAAGAGGAATGACAGGGATGAAAACAATCCCAACTACCGAGAATATAAACCACACCTTAGAAGGAAGAAAGACAGGCACGAGTGTAAACCGCTGAAGATCACTATAGAGGGTAACAAAATAAAGTGCCTAGAGGTCGTGAGGTACCTGAGGGTCTGATTCAGCAGAGACCTTAACATTGCTACACATATTCATAAAGGACGGGCGCAAGCGGAAAAGCTATTTCACAAGATGAGATGCCTTTCGCGAATGAGTTGGGGACTTAATTACCACACTTGTCTCACTATATATAGGGGGTGCTTCCTGCCGGTGATTGCTTATGCGTCCCCGGCATGGAGCGATTTATGTAAAGCTTAAGATTGGCTGTCTCTTGCGGACGCGCAGAGTGGCGTCTCGGGAGTAGTCGCGCACGCTCGTGCATCTCCCCCAAGGGTATCGGTGATCTCAATGCGTGATATACACGGGGCCCCCGGGTTTACATAGATGTTTCTGTCCTTTAAGATATATCGTGTAACACGGAGGCAGATTATAGTTCGTTGTACTCCATTTTCGTACTGCTCTATATGGTAGTCTGAACATGGGTACTTCGAACACACACACTATATATAGGGGGTGCTTCCTGCCGGTGATTGCTTATGCGTCCCCGGCATGGAGCGATTTATGTAAAGCTTAAGATTGGCTGTCTCTTGCGGACGCGCAGAGTGGCGTCTCGGGAGTAGTCGCGCACGCTCGTGCATCTCCCCCAAGGGTATCGGTGATCTCAATGCGTGATATACACGGGGCCCCCGGGTTTACATAGATGTTTCTGTCCTTTAAGATATATCGTGTAACACGGAGGCAGATTATAGTTCGTTGTACTCCATTTTCGTACTGCTCTATATGGTAGTCTGAACATGGGTACTTCGAACACGCCGAGCGCAAGACGCATTAGCGACCGCCGACCAAAGCAGATAGAGTTGGTACTACGGGAGGCTAAATTTTAAGCCCTGTGCCTGGGGCTGCAAAGTCAGAATATGACATGTAGGACTAGGTACAACTGGCCAATTGAGGTCGGACTCGTAGTGGTATGTCTTAAGGCCTCGGGCTTGTTACGTGTATTCCGGTGCCTGTTTCAAGGTGCAGGTATTTGCGTCCCGGAAAACGCCATCGCGAAGAGAGTAGAGTTATAATTTCCCAGAGTTATGCTCTAAGAGACGAGGTACTCAATTTCCGTCCTTCGTACGGGAGAAGCATGGCTTGCGCGATATACACGTCGTATCGACGAAGCAGTTACGTACAACAATGTTAGGATTTTTCTGAATGACAATGCATCAGAAGAATCATCGACGCCAATGATGAACCTCAGCTTACAAACACTTAAAATATGGCACCAAATTAGTGCGATACATTAATCTTTTTTGTTATTAATGAATATTGATAGGTATGTTTTTATGAATTCTGATTACATATTATGATTACAATCTGCGTGCTATTAATGAAAAAATCATTATTTTATTACCGTCCTGCTATGCTGTTGGGTTGAATTTCTTGCAGAAAAATACCCAAATCACCTTTTTCTTTACTTCTCAGTCCAACTACGCTGAAGCCAAGATTGTTCCCTTCCGGCTTGCAAAGCTAAAACAATAATAAAGTCATTGAAATATGTGTTCATGAACAATTGCAATGATGTTTGATAAATTGATAACTTAATACTGAGATGGAGAAGATGAAATGTGCTTGGCAAAAAAACTTACTAGTTTGGTAACTTCGGATAATCTGATTACTACCATACTTATAGTTATCAGGCACTATAGCATTTCTCATTGATGATCTATTGATCTTTTTATTAGTTAACGTAGCATCTATATTCATAAATTATGGATTAACCTTTGACTAGTCAATTCAATGAGCAGCGTGTGCCTCTTTTGTAGTCTTTTTTATTCATTAATCATGATTCCAATGTTTTATGTGTAGTATTCTGCCAGCTTTCTTATGGAGTCTGAATGTTTTTTCTTTTCATTGGGGGCTTTTCTGTGAAAATATGATTGTGTTGAGGTGATATCGGAACTAATCTCGTAAGTGAGTAGTACTCTGGCGTTTTCATGCCGAGGGATGATCAGGTAAAAAAAACGTGAAATCAATCGATATGAATTGCAAAGTAGGACGATCTAGCGTGGGCAGCTTTATATTAGGAAGCTGTTTAACAATTTTAAAGTTTGATGTGTAATTTGAGTCGTTTTTGTAATGAGTACAGGTAATTATGAATAACTCTGGTGTACATGGTACCGGTATACTCATTGCTCAAAAAGATTTTCTGCTAACAATTTTTAAATGGTTTTTTGATTCGTGAATATTCTTCTTACATTACGTTAATACAAGTATATTCCTTATCGTGGTGATTGATATATCCTCGAAAATGTTTCTCAGATGGAATTGCTATAGCGTTAATCTACTTCAGCGACTCTTAGGAATTAAAATATAGTCGGAGATAACTGAGCAATTTTAACAGAATTGGACTGCATTTAGAAATTTTCTGAAGGTTCCCACCCATTTTACACTTATATCGACTGTTGTTTCTGAATTTCTTTACCTATTAGTATATTCACTGCAGCAGGTAATAAGATTACTAAGTTTCAAAAACAATCGAAATTGTTTAAGGATGTGTGTTTGTGGCAAAAAATAGTAAGTAGATGAACGAACGTGTCGAGTGTGAGAAAAGGAAACAATAACCCTCCTACTACTATGAAGCTCCCTTACAGCTTGGCTCTCAATATTCAACGATAGGATTCGTATTATTAACCTTTCAAGATTCCTAGCTGGACTGAACATGTGCTTTGCAATAACTTGGCCTTTACATTGTAACGAGGTGATTTTCACCATCGAACAATCCCTCACAGTAAATCATTAGATTTTCATCAATGATTTATTTCGAATTTCGTTGTCTTTAATGTGAGCTACAGGAATGCTGTAAGCGTGAAAAATTGCAATTGATTTCACTGAAATCTTCCAATCACGTTAATCAATAGATTTTATTGGTTAGCTATCGAGATCACACTAGGTAAAAGATCGCCGATGCCAGTCAGTCAGTCACTAGACTATATAAGTAGAAGTTAGTCAGTCAGCAGTGTTGTGACAGTGTCAGCTGATGTTATTCGCACCATTTGGGCAGAATGATCAGTCATAGCTATTTGCTCGACATTGTGAGCTGATTCATCCGACGGGGTCTGTCGCTTTATTATTGTCCGAAGAGGTGTGGTCTTCAATTGTATTCTCTGGCAGCCCAAGTGGAATCTGTATGGTGCTCCGAATCAAGGACTGCAGAGTTCAACGGCAGCTAACAGCTGTGCAACAGCCATCTTGTCATCGCCGAAGCCAAGCATATCTCTTCAGCTCGGTCGACCCAGCGTCGGATATCGTAAGCTAAGTTTTTATGTGCTGGCTTCTCCTAATTTTTATTCTACATTGTATCCTATGAGTCAATTGTATTGCTCGTCTATTATTATTCCGTGAGTGTGTGCCGTGGAGTTTTCACGCCACATGGATTATGCAAGTGAATGTTTTACGCGCCCTAATTCTTCTAGCATGTTGAAGACGGCTAGAGAAAAGCTTTGTACGCTAAATTCTTAAGTAATTATTGAATTTTATTCCTAATAGTATAATGAATTGCCATATATCGATTATTAATATTTTGGTACTTCAGTAAGCTTGGCCGTATGTCGAATTACGATAATTATTTATATTAAGCCTATTAGTTATGGTACCTACACTCTGAGAGTCTCAAAATAATTTTTTTATTTAATAAAGCCAAGGTACGTCTCAGTATGAAATTGATTGTACATTAAATTGTAAATTGTTGGCGGATTGACTCTGCCTGGCGCTCGATCATTGTCTTTGTATTGTTTATTTATGGGAAAGTAATTTCCCATTTATTAAAAACTTATCATAAAATCCTTCATAATAATCACCTATGTCCAAAACCTGTTAGCTTGTAGCACAACAGGCAGGCTAGCATGGTTTTGTTGTTACAACATAAAAGAGTGTTCAACTTCACTCTTATCCCTAAGCATATAAGGCAGCGCATAAAGCCTTGAATAGACTTCGAACAACCTCTTTTCAGTGCAAACTAGACAAAGTTTGGTATAACTGTTTAAAATTTCTGCACAAGAAGAAGTTATACACAGTGAAGTTTCAGATCTTTACAGTAAGAGTATAAAAAATTCAAAAAAAATTGACGTTTTTATAATTAGCGAAACTCTTTCTGATGATTTAATTGTAAGAATCATAAAATTTTCTTTATTGGTTTTTTTTTTACTAACAATATTTTTAATTTCATATTTTTGTCTATAGTTATTTAATTATCATTTGAAAATAGCCGTTTAAATCACTTTTTTCCTACACTTTAATCCGTTCTGTGTATTATTTAATCATTTTTCCCTCATTAAAGAGTATTTTTAAGTTTTTCCACGGTTTGATTTCTCTCATTGTCTACATGACCTCCTCTACTTGAGAGTCCTGTCCCTTAACAGTTACTACGTGCAGCGTTAAATTATAGAAGAACGTGAGAATCATGATTAATTAGAGACCCATAAGAAAATTGTAATTCAAATGAAATTATTAATGAAAAACTATCAGGAGCTTCTTTTACCGTTTTTCTGATCCCGTATAAATATCGTATTTATCTCGGAAACTAAGTAAGCTATTATTGTCTCAGATCAATAACATCAGCCAAGATGAGCCGAAGAAGATCTTACACTGCAATAGTACTTCACTTAGGTCCTTAAATGTATAATATGCTATTTTGCATTTTATGTACAAATTTACAATATTTGTATGACGTTGCATTATAGCGTAGATGTTTCTTGATCACATGAAAAGGCAATCGATGTAGAGAACTTAACGTGAAAGAACATAAAAATAATAGAAAACACGAGAAGCCTAGAAGGAGTTTAGCACTGGAAAATGTGATAAACGATATTTTTTGCGAGACCGCACTTTACAGAGAGTGAGTATTCATAGTGAGTTTTAGTTGCGCTAGAGAAAACCAAACACACAGCAAGTACGTGCCGAGTGTCTACTGTTTCTTCAGAAAAACAAAATTTTGATTCCAAGCTTTTAGTTATGTACAACGATTTACGAGTTTAAATTGATCGCAAACAGTAAATGGCAAATCGAGAAACTACAAGCTTAATCAATTAAGAGTGGGTTGGCTAGTGAAAACGACTGAATGTTTACATGTATGTTCGAAAATTAAAAAGTAATTGCAGCGTAATTACTCAACAAAACAAAAATTGACTCATAACAAATCCGGTACATAAAAGAAAAAAAGAAGAGGAATGTTTTTGATCTCCCTTTTTCAGGGATGCCAAAAATAGTTTATGGTAAAATGCTCTTGCACCTCAAACTTGACCAGGAGAAAAAAAGCTCTTACTCCTAGTTGGCAGATACGACGATTTCCGCTTCGCCAGTCTTCGAACATATTTACTTATTAGCTAATATACGTGACTGCATCAATGTAGACACTTCTCGATTGATATAGAGAGTAATCAACTGGAAAAATTGGTGTGTACGATTTCAAAACCACACCATTTGTTCACCTACTCAGAGCAATCTGTCATTTATTATAAACGATAAATATGACATCGATGCGTTTCATAATAATAGATTAATTAAGTAGCGTTTTGTATGTTGTTTTGGTAGTTTTAATGGAACAACTTTAGATACGTATGGCGTTGTAATAGAGTTGCTCAAAAGTCGTAACTTCGTGTATATTTACAGTAGATAAAAAAATACTAACTTTGTCGTTAGACTTAATTATTTAAATTGTTTACAACAAATTCAATTGTTATAAACAGAATAAGTATTGTTTCATTCATGTTACACGATTGATCATTTTTTTTTAGCAAAAGAAAAAAATACGTGTTGGGGAAACTCATATATCTTGCAAAAATCCCTTTAACTTATCCCCAAAAGATAAGTACACTTTATATTTACAGTAAAGTTGTTGAAATGATAATCAATCTGAATGCATCAATATTCATCTTACATTATCTAGCAAATGAGACTAATCTTAATGAAAATATTTGATTCACCGGAAATGAGCAAAGCAATGACGATAGTAGTTTCTTACTTTTTATGAAAATTAGTAATTGGTATGTCTGTAAATCTTAAATAACGATACTCGGCTTTACTTGCAAAGGAAATTGCCGTTAATTTCATTTCCCAACATAAGTTATCACTTTCCACCATATTTGCCTCACAGAAGGATCATGCCATGAAGGTCATAAAATACCTATCTCTGTATCTCTAGGCCTATATACAGATATATACATTTGTGTATGGACATTATTATTAAAATTTTAATACAAAATATTTGGTTGTCAATTACAAACGTTAATATAAAATTTTCAACTTATTCATTACAAAACATTATAATAATATTTGAGAACGATAACAATATAATTACATGAGAGATAAAATAGAGAATTATAACACAACATGTATCTAGATATTTTAAATGCATAAACTCAATTTATAAGTATGTTGTTAAATTGGAATGTTGATGGTCACATTTTATTTATGATCATCGTTGTCGTCGTTATCCAGAAATAGTCCAGAAATAGTTGATATAGAAGGGG